TTATAGTTAGTCAAAGCTTAACTGTAATTAAAATACAATTTTAATTGCTCAAATGATTTTAAATGTTTTATTTTAACTGTGCCATAATCTTCATGGGTTTTCGTCAGTAAATACAAATGTCTACAACATAATCGATGATATTATGGTATTGCCAAAATTACAATTTTAGAAAAAACTATAGTAAAAATACGTTCCTCGATATCATAGTCTTTAAGTTTTATAATATCAGTAATCCCAATAACTATCTTAGAATTTTAAACTTGCACACTTGGGTATGTTTGTTGAAAAGTTTTATTTAAGAAAAAGAACTTGCATATGTTTATAAAATGATAAATAGAACTAAATATTTCAAAAGTAATCCTTGAAGAGCAAAATTTATGTCAACAATTTATGTTTTACTTCAATATGTTTCCTCTATGAAACATGACTTAAAAAAGAATAGGTAATGAGGGTAATAACAATTTTAGTTTTTGATATCCCTAAATGGCCCTTTGTTTCCTCGACATCGTTATATGCGACATAAACTTAGTGTAAGTCCCGAAACGTGTGGGGCCCAAACAGTTGTCGTTGTCGCTTTTAACGATTATGTTTATGATTCAAGTGAATATGCAATTAACGACAAGATTCTCATTAAGAAGACAAACGCCAAAATATGTCAACATATAACCTGATTACGTCCCAACATTACTTCAGCTGCTTCTCAGTGTCAATGTTTTCTAAAAGGAGATTTGAAATAGAATAAACTCATTTTATTTAATTATATCAAATACAAAGCATCATTTCGTTTATGATATGCAAATATTAATTACTTAATTATACAAAGAATGTATTCTCAAGCAAAAATACTCTTTAAATCATAAAAACAGGAAATTGAAATACCTCCATGTGTGCGACTATTTAATAATAATAATAAACGTCTTTATTTAATAATTAATTGTACATGAATATAAAATTAATTACCGAAAGCGCGAGAGTTTAGTTTCATTGGCTACTTACACCTAACCCTAACTAAATCTAATACAAAAAAAATGTAAGTATATAAGAATGAATCACATATTTCTGAAACCCCATAAGTACACTGAACGTCATTTTTCAAGACGTATGAAAAATTAATTTGCAATCAACTGTTTTATTTATTACAATTTTAATAACCTCCTCCTTTGGATATGATTTTTTTTTAACAATTGGTGTTATTCTGGAAGTTAAAATTTGTTTAGTATGGAAAATACTTCTGAGCGCATATATACAGGGTGTCTCACCAGGAACTGCATCGAGCACTTTCAATTATGCCGGAAGTCGATACAAACTTGCTTATTTTAAATGGAATACCCTATATATTTTAGGGTTTTCGAAAAGAACATAAAATTCTGAGTCAAAAACACACTATGCCTAAGCCTAGCGTATCGGAGATATTTGACATTTTAAAAAATTTTTGTCAGGTGTGATGCTTTACAATAGCCTTTATAACTTTCTTCGTGTGAAAGATAGTCATTTGCTTTTTGGCAAGCAGAAAGACCATAAGGTGAGCTACGCTATACAGTTTAAAGAAATTAATAATAGTATATCAAGTGTTCCATTTTTGATGTTACATTTTCTAAACTTCAAACCGCGAAAACTTGCTTAAGTCGAGTGGAACATCCTGTATTTCTTTACATCAAGTTATGTATAATTAAATTCCTCTTTCTTCTGATATATGCATTGTGGAGGTTTAAGTTACAACTTTTTGAAATAGCTATGATTAGAAACAATCAGTAATGTCAGTCATTATCTTATGTCAAAAAATGCCACCGCGTTTAAATTACACCCTCGAAGACTTTTTGAATTGGTTTAATATTTATGGAGAATGTGACAAAGTAATATAAGAACTTGTAGTACATTTGCTACTCGATATCTACAAAAACGAAAACCGTCACCAAACACTGTAAAATTCATACTGGATAATTTTAAAAACTATGGCTCTGTCAAGGCAAGAATTCAAAAGCGGAAGCCTATTGCTAATTACGAAAACGTAGAAATAGCAATTCTGGGATATTTTGATGCATTTCCAATAGTGTCATTAAGTCAAGCTGCTCTGGAATCGGGACTATGCAAGAAATCAGTTTACAGAATCTTAAACATAAATTTCACCCATTTTGGTTCCAAATGGTTCAACGATTAAAAGAAACAGATTTCCTAAGAGAAAATTTTTCTGAATTTATTCTAATAAGGTCTGTAGGCGACGATTCTTATTTGGAAAATATATATAATAAATATGGTCAGATGAAGCTAAATTGCCCAAAAATGGACTTTTTAATCGACACAATTCGCATTACTGGAGTGACTCGAATCCTCATGTGTTCAGGGAGTGAAATTTTCAAGAAAGTTGGCAGTTTAATGTTTACTGTGCTATAAGAAACGATAGAGTGATACATTTACAATTTTATCTCAGGAAAATTTAAACAATAAGTCATAAAGATGTCTTCTTCTGCTATGTATACTTAATTTCTTGGTTTCTGTTTTTTCTTTTTTAGATGAAAGATATCTAAATATTTTAAAAAATTTGAATAATAACTATTTAGAAAATTTACGTCTCACCGAACATAGAAACATTTTTTTATCAGCACGACGGGCTCCCCCACATAACGCGTATTTGATAAATAATTTTAGATTATTTTATTTGTGGGAAACTAATAAAAATAAAGTTTATGATAGCCCATTAACAACTATTGAAGATTGTATGCAGAGAGTAAGAAATGCATTATAATCCGAGGGTGCGAAAAATGTGTAGAGGTTCGAGGGCGGAATTTTGAACAATTATTAAATTAAAATGGAATCATGTTTTTAGTTGATTTTATCTTAGCTATTTTAGTTTATGCAAAGTGTCTTCAATCCAATTAATAGGCATGTTACAGTGTTTAGTGTTATTTTCCGTTTTTGTGGATATCTAGTAACAAATATACTACAAGTTCTTGATATTAGTTTATCACATTCTTCATAAATAATAAACAAATTCCAAAAGGCTTCGTGGGTGTAATTTAAACACGGTGGCATTTTTTGGACATAAGAGAATGACTGACATTACTGACTGTTTCTAATCATGGCTAATTTGATACAATTTTTATTAAAAATTCTTGAATTTCTAAGAAAATTGCAAATATTTCAAAAAGTTGTAACTTAATCCCTCACAATGCTTATATCAGGAAAAAAGGAATTTAATTATACATAACGTGATGTAAAAAAATACAGGGTGGTCCATTTGACTTAAGCAAGTTCTCGCGGTTTGAAGTTTACAAAATGTAACACTTGGTATAATATAATTGAATTTCTTTAAACTGTAGAGCGTAGCTCACCTTATGTTCTTTTTGTATGCCAAAAAGCAAACGAGTATATTTTACACGAAGAATGTTATAAAGGTTATTGTAAATCATTACCCATGTCAAAAATTTTTTAAAATGTCAAATATTTCCGAAATGGTTCAATTTAAGCATAGGGTATCCTACCTACATGTTTTTGACTCAGAATTTTATGCTCTTTTCGAAAACCCTAAAATATATAGGGTATCCCATTTATAATAAGCAAGTTGGTATCGACTTCCGGTATAACCGGAAGTGCCAGATGTTTGTAACTATTTTAGTTGGATTGGCCACACTGCGTTAGTAGCTCCCTAAATTTTCAAAATTTTCTGGTGCGTACTTTTCCCTATATCGATCGATGCAGTTCCTGGTGAGACACCCTGTATAGTGTATAGTGGCCGTCTACACATAAATGGAGCGACATATTTTTGATACCATAGTTAAAAATAGCTGCCAATTACTTGGGGATCAAAACTTCCTCACCGTGGTAAAACTCGACTATAGTGGAGATTATAATGAAAATAATTTTTGACGTTTCAAAAAAAGTCACATTATATCGTTTCAAAAAAGCGTCCCTAATATTTTTTTTAGACATTGGGACCGATTTTGCTTATTAACGCACTCAATCTCTTCCTTGACCTCTAGAATGTGTGTACTAAATTTGAAAGCTTTCTCAAAAACTATAGCTGTAATCGCGAACCGCACGGACACAAAGACACACAAACAGAATATCTTCTGTTTGAAATTTTATGTAACGTCATAATTCGTCGAGATTCGTCCAGAAATGCAATAAAAATTTTCAAAAATTTTTTTACGAATACATGACCCCCACTTTGAGGGGTGAGAAAATGGACATAAAACTGTTTCGTGTGTCTGCCATGTGATGCACGTTAATGGTTTCTTCATCATGACAAAGTGAAAGGTTTGGTAACATTTTCCAGAAAATAAGCTGGCATCATAAAAAATTGTCTGTAGTAATATATTATTAAGTGCATTAAAAATTATCGAAAATTCAGCGCATGAAAATGTGTTTCCTAGAAACTGATTAAGTTCATTTCGATGTGATTTGACAAAAAGTGCCCAAAACGATATCAAGGAGGGTACTTTTTCAGTCAAATCACATCAAAATGAACGAATGCGGTTTCTTAAAGGCAACGTGCTTTGAATGCTGAATTTTCCATTTATTTTTATTGCACGGAATATATTTATTAGACTATTTCCAGAACAAAACATACCTAGAACAAGAAATATTTTTTTATTATTAAGTGAATAAACAATTCAAATTATTACAATCACGGCTGGGTATACTTTTATTCCCGTGTCACAGTTTTTAAACGGATTTATTTAAAAATCGAATTTTAAATTATTCTTTGTAGAAAAACCCAATATTTAAAAAGTAGGTAATTAATTATTATGTTCCTCTTCAACTGACGTTTTAAGCTGTCAAGCCCAGTGTAACTTTCGCTGTAATTTTATGTAAAATTTTCATTTGGAATGCAATGTTCGCTGAAAGTTTGTTCTTATTGGTCCAAATTTTCAAAATCTTGCTATTTTATTGGTTCTTATAATGTGAACGAAGAAGTTGATTGTATTCGTTTACGAAAGTGCCGTTCATACTATACTTTGACAGCCCTAGCCAACTATGCTAAAGTCACGGTATTACATCCATGCTTTAACCGGGATTCGAACCGGGGACCCCTTGGTTTCAAACCAAACATATAAGCTCTGAACCACTGAGCGGTTTAACTATTGTTGACACTTTACTGTCTTCGTGAACAAATTAAAAAATAATCACGAAGCCGGTAGTTTGTATTTCGATAACACAAAATCAACTTAATATTTATTTACATTTACGAGAAAATGGAATTACAATATACAATTTTCACGCAACAAATGCCCATAACTCTAAGATTAAGGAACAGAAGAACAATGTAGTCTGAATGCTTTTTTATGAATAGCCGCAAGAGAAATGTATTTTCTGTATAAACTGAAAACGTGAATGTGGCCTGCCTAAGATTAGCAAAACTTTCTGTCGCATTTGTGTTTAAGTTGAATTAGGATCTGAACCTTGTAACTTTATTAAGTGATAAAAACGGACAACTATATGTTTCTGCGCTTTATAACCAACAAAACAAAAATAAATGAAAATGCCCTCAAAATATTTTTACCGATAAAATTACTTTGAAAATATAAACTTTTCAAAGGCGATGGAAGATAAAACACCCGAGCGGATATTGCAATATTTTCCTCGCTTTTCATGGCCCATCTGATCTCGGACCTAGTCGTGAAGGGAGACCGCGTAGCCAATTACGGTTGAGTGCAAAGTTTCATCCGATTCCTTTTCCTGCGAAACACGTGAGCCACTAACGACTTCAACTTGATAAAACCCTCCAATATTATAGGCCATTACAATCAATAAGGAGGCAAGTTGTCGCTAGATATCGGTTTAGTTTATCGGAAAAAATATAGGCTATCGGTAGGGTGCCTCGGGCCACGGGCGTGATATAAAAAACCCAGGTATCATGTAATGTTTATACCGAAAGTGAATCTGGCGTGAGTTGTAACATGTTTAGGAAACTGAAACCGTCAAAACGCCTTGCTGGGGCTCAAAGTTATTCGGGCATAGTCACTAGGTGAGGGTAAGTTATGAACGCTACGTAATATCTGAAGTAAGCCTACTATCTCACACCTACACCGACTTCCTGCATTTTATCAGCTTAAGCTTCACCTTGCCTGGACAGGGGCGGATTTAGGAAGATTTAAATGCTATACAGTTAGCTAGAGATACTGTGATATACTACAGCAAATAACAAAATATATTATGTAAAATATCTTAATATTCTAAATTCTTGTATTAAGAAATATCATAGTTATACAAAAGTAAATAAGAAAGATCGAGAGCATTAATATATTTAATTACCATAACTAGTTATTTCGTTACTTTGTACTTTTATTTTAAATCCGCGGACGAAAATTTATTATGGGCGTAAATGTAACTTCTCTATTTTACATATAAAAGTGGAGAAACATTTTTCAGAACTCTTTTCAAAAACTAGAATGACGTCAACATTTAAATTAGCAACGTGAATACGACAAGCTGTTTTTTGTGCAATATCATGTGTTCATATAACCTTCAACATCGAGAACATAGAATACATAACAATATATTGATTCATTTCTGTTTTGCCTCTACACTCTTTTCATATCTATCTGCATTGAAACTAGTTAAAAACCATTAATTTATTGCCCATGGTCATTGTTTGACCCAAGAATCCTATTATAAGTGACGTTATTTATTTATTTGACGATTATAATTATGTTGACTGGAAAATAAAGACCTCATTAGTCCTGGGGGAGACAATAAATTTTGTCGAAACGTCGACTAAATGAGAATTTGAGGTTTTCTTTACGAATTTTATCCAAACCGACTAATAAAACGACATTAAGAGATTATGGATACGAAACTCCTTAGCTAAAAATTTCCTGAAAGTTACTTTTTGCAATAGTTATGTTTTTTTCTACCTTATTATTCAGTTTAGGAATTCACAAAATTTTTACTACAATAAAACAAACTAATAAACAAATAAATATATTCAGAATTAGCATGACATTTGACTCTCCTCTCTGGGTAAGGAAGCGCGCAATTGACCAGACAAATTTAGTAATCTTACAGCTAAATACATAAAAAACAGGGACATGTATTTCTTATCGTCAATAAACATACAACAATAATAAAGAAACTCGATTAATCATTAGTGTTCAGGGCACCACCTTCTTTGTTTTTCTTTAAATTTAAAATATGCGAAGCTCTCTTTAATTAACAAACAACAAACTACCCGTAAAAGGAGGAAAATAGGGCAGGATTTAAACAGTCAATATTAGTTTATCAAAAATATGTTGGACAATCTAGACGATCAATACAAACTAGATTCAAAGAGCATATGGCTCATCTCATATATGGTACAACAGGTGTCTAGTGTTGCCCAACTTGCGTTTGAGTACAACCATAAAATATATGTTAGAAACTTAAGATTAATGTAACCAATACTAGACAGCTGGATGCATTTGAAAGCTTGGAAATCACAAAGTGTAAAACTAGGTTAGTGGGTCACGGTTTACCAAACCGTGACAATAGTTTAGGCATGAACAGGATACATTGTTATCATAAGATTAATTTTAATTATATCCAGATGACACCAACTTGGTTGGCGAAACGCGCGTCGAGTGCGGTATTCAGATCGAGCCAACTTACTATATACACGACTAGCGGTATGCGCAGTTTATAGTTGCTCGTCTGAATACGAAATCTGAACGAGAAATGTTTAATAGGAAAAAGTAGGAAGAAAAAATAAAAGTAAAAAGTTTTTCTAAGTTGCTTGACAGGATTTTGCTGGTAGTTAACATAAAGTAAATTATAGTACTGATAAAAATTCATTTTAAATAAAAAAATTATTTTATTATAGTTCGTCGCCTCGTTCGATTAGATCACCGTTTCTTACAATTATATAGTACCGTTTCTCGGTGCCAGATGACGTAGCTGTTTTAAAATAGTATTTTAGATATTTTCTGCATTCAAAACAGTTTTAAGAAATTTTACGAAAAGTAGGCATTATGAAATTGTTTTTTATGCTCAAAAAAGCCCTCCTTCTTGAGAAAGGCAATATCCTAGCTCTCCGACATTCGCGCTGGCAACAGACGGGCGATTGTAAATTAGTCTGTATCCAGTGGGTTGGCTCGACTTGGATGGTGTTTTGGTGTATCGTGGAAAACTACGTTATCGATAGTATCAGTTTAGTTTTAATCATCTCCCGATGATGGCAACTTGGTTGGCGAAACGCACATCGAGTATAGTATCAAGTGTTTTGTCGTTTGTGGAAACTACCAAAGGTTCCAACTCACTTAGGGAGTGCATATATAGGAATCTTGAAATGGAATATGAATTAATTCATATCAATCAAGTAGCTGATATACAACTGACTGCGAAAATTTTACGACGAGGGAGGCATTATTTAGAAGCCATTAATTAATGAAATAAAATGTCAACTATCTTTAAACGAATTAAACAATAAGCCAGCAATTATTGGATAATCGCTAGTGTTGATATGTGGCCGCAATTAGAGGAATTGTCTCTGTTACGAATGGATCAGTTTTAGATTTGTATTCGTTACATCTGAATTGAAATACGATTATTATCAGCAAATTAGAACAATAGCCGTCTTGGCCAATTAATCTCATTGATTAATCCACGTTTCAAGCGTCGATAGCATCATCGGGCTGATGTGGCATCTCCTTTGTTGCGGCCAACAACGCACGGCACAATTACAATACGGCAAAAGGCGTAAAGAGATTCTGAGCGATAACATTTAGTATTCATCGAGTTGTGCTTTCCTCGCGTTACACACTTCCATCGATGTTGAGCCGCCATTAAAATAAATAACTTCTATAAAGGGGGGCTTTCGCTCGTCATCCGACCAAAGATCGTTCATTACCATATTTATCGACATCGAGATGCTCTAAACTTGTGTAAAAAGTTTGGCACCGTGATCCAACCAATCTAGTAAATTCCTGTTAATGTACATGGAAAGCCCTTACTGCAGAAGTTCCGATAGCTCAATTTACAGTTTGACGCTGCCTTATAATATGTTCCGGCAAAGTTTTAAACGTGCGAGTACAGCTAATATGTTTCGCCATATGTTGTGCTCATCTTGAAGGGTGGAAACTTTCAACCGGGTTGCCACTTCCAGTTTACTCTCTCATATTTCCACGGCAGGCCGGCTTATCCCAGCAGTGTCAAACGTCGACCTGCTGTATCTGCCTCTTGATTACCGGCTAGGGATCGCCACATGTCGCTGCAAAGTTCTTAGATAAAGTCGAAACACAATCACGGAACCAATAAAGAACTTTTGTATTTGATAAATCAATCTTGGAATCCAGTTAGAGGAGCACAATGCCGACAGTTGTGCCCAGATTTCGTTAACTGCTTTAAGCCAAGCCGAGCCATCCACTCAGCCCTTCTTGAAATTCAATTCCATCAGAATTTACACAATACCTCGCTTGTTTTTCCCAGGTTTATCTGTCGTATACATTATCCTTCCTTGTCCTGCCTGATTGTGCCTTGGTCAGCAGTATATGTAATTATAAAAAAGTAGACGTGAGCTGTATTGTTCCCAACACAAATATAACATGTTTACTTGTTTCTAGGAATTTGCTCGCCGTAAGTCGACACTCCGCGTAATGATGTGGCCTTTAAGTAAAGTTTAGAAATTACCTTGGATTAGTTTGTATTTTGCAGAGTAACAATTTTAACTCGATTTCGATTCGTGGAAATGTGCAATATCTACAGTAAAGCTGATGCAATAAGTCCATTTGCTTGGAAATCGTGCATTTCAGAAAGTGCATTCAAAAGTTCGTTAAGTATTCTCGACTTGTCCACATTTCTGCATCGAATCATTGGCCAATTTGATACGTGGACGAAATTTTTAATCTCTTCTGTTACAGCTTCGCCGTTTCCTCGAGCATTACATGCCCTTATCCAAACGTAAAAAAGAAGAATACCGTCCAATAAGGTAAATAAGAGAATTTCTAGCAACGTTGCCAGAATATTTCTATACAGGGTGATTCATGTTTTATATTGACAACTGCGGGGACAGATTATAATCGGTCCCTGCAGTTGAATTATTCAAACGATTTTAAGAGTTCTTATTATTTTCAAATATCTTATTACCTAGTTCTAGAATGTTTTTTCCT